TGGAACGAGCTCCATGCATTCAGCCCTCTGGCTCTTTCTCCCGTTTCTTTTAAATTGTTTTAGACGTCTTTTATTTACTTATCTTTTCAAATATATTTTTATTGATTTCAGAGAGGAAGGGCGAGGGAGGGAGAATTAGAAACATACACGCAAGGAGCAAGAATCATGGACCGGCTGCCTCCTGCACTCTCCCCACTGGGGATCGAGCCCACACCCCGGGCCTGTGCCCTGACCGGGAATCGAACCCGGGATCCTGCAGTCCGCAGGCCGACGCTCTATCCACTGAGCCAGACTGGCTGGGGCTGAATCCATTTCTCCAGACTGGGTGACAGGAAGGTCCCCATTCATCCCGTTCTCCTCCAGAAATACACGGGGGGCCCCACACGCAATCCGATGGGGTTGGATCCCTCCGTCTAGTCTAGTGATTCCCAACCTTGTCCTGGCCACGCCCCCCAGCGTCTCTAACATCCCCTACCCCAACACACACACAGAATTCTTCTTATCCACAAAGTGAGTTCCCCTGCACGCGGAGGAAGCCTCAGAGGCCATGAACTCCATCTAAGCAAGCTGCCAGAGAACATGGCATCCACAAGAGAGAAAAACAAAAGGACGAAAGGACAGCGGACCGACTGAAGAAGGACTCACTAAGGAATTGTTAAAAAAAATCTATAATCATGTGAAGGGATATGAAAGAACAGCAAATAAAGTTTCAAAACATATAACAGAGAACTGAGATGCATAGATATGTCACCATATGTATGTATAAACTGTCTACGGGGCCCCTGGAACCCTAAGAAATGCAAAACATGCACGGTGAATGACGCATTCTCGAATGGCCCCCCGTAAACACCAAGCTGCCCCCGCCCCACCGTGGGCGTGTGCCCCACGCTGGGAACGCGCGTCTGGGCCGAGTTTGCACATTTCAGCGTCCGAGGGCCACAGTAGCCACAACAAATCCAGCTTCACATTTGAGTCCCCTCGTCCTTTTTTTAATAAATTGGAATTTGCTCATCCACAAGTTTCAGATGGTACCTAACCCATGGGACGCTGAGAATGAAATTCTACGGCTGGGCGGTTCCTGGTCCCTTAAAACCAGTCCCAAACCCACTTGGCGTCACCCCTGGAATTCTCTGGGCGGAAATCATTTCAGAGCTGGGCAGGGCAGGAGCGCCTTCCACGGGAATGATCGACCACGTCGAGGGCTCCGGGTGCTGGCGTTACACACACACACGCTGCTGCCCGGCCGGCGTGGCTCAGTGGTTGAGCCTCCACCTAGGAACCAGGAGGTCAGGGTTCGATTCCTGGTCAGGGCACTTGCCCAGTTGCGGGCTCCATCCCCAGTGGGGGGCGTGCGGGAGGCCGCCGATCCCTGACCCTCTCTCATCATCATGTTTCTGTCCCTCTCTCCCTTTCCCTTTCTCTCCCTGAAATCAATAAAAATATTTAAAAAACAAAACAAAACAGCAAACCCCGCTACGGCAGGCGTACTTGTGATTCCCAGTGCTAACAGAACATCCCCATGACATATTTCCTGGCTCGTTTCGGACCGAGAGGAGAATGAATGGCTCATAGAGACAGTGCAACCTCTCTCTAGGGCCGGGGGCAGCGGGGGAGGGCGAGCGATGAACAACACAACAAACGCTGTTTTCGCCGATGACTCAAGTGTTGTCCGTCTTTGTGCGCGGGGAGGGACGGAGCCAGGCTCTCGAATTGTCTCAAGTATATCTGAGCGCGCACATAATGAGACTCGTCTGTACATGTTGAGCCCCTCGGGACCGTTTCGGAAAGACCAGGACTACTTAGAAAAAATTAACTTTTTTTTTTATTCCATTCAGTTGTGGAGAAAGAAAGAGCATGATATCCCAAATTCAACGCGTCTCTCCTCGCTCGGGAGGCCGGGGCGTGGGGCGCAGCCACCCGGCCGGGAACGTCCAAGGTCTGGGTGCGGAATGATCGGTCCGGCTCGCTCACCGACACCGGGAAGGGGCGCGTAGCGGTGAGAGGTCAGC